AGTTATTCTTCTTATCTTTCGCCTAGTGCTTATCATTCAGAACAATCAACAACTGAGAGAACAAAATGCTTTCTTCTTCAGAGAATGTAATACCCTAAAATCCAATTAGCTTAAACCAATTAAAATGGCTGTTTTTAAAGCCAAGGCCCTTCCAGGAGGTTGCTATAACCATAGAGCATTTTTCAGAATCATGCAATGAACCAAAGAAATGCCTACATCAGAGTAGGCATTTGTGAACTCCAGAGTTCCACTTGCAAACACATGATGTCAACATCTAATCAGAAACTCTCAGAGTGAGGTCCCTCCCTTAGCAGTATCAGCATCACCTGGGAACTTGTTAGAAATACAGATTCTGGGCCCCCACTCCCACACCTGCACCTACTGAAGCAGAAACCCCAGGTGTGGCACACAGCAATCTGTTTGGACGAGATTTCCAAATGCCTCTGATGCCCACTCAACGCTTGAGAACTACTAGACTAATACAGCCGCTATGATACGGTAACAGCCACGACTCAAATGTATGGCTCTAATTGTCTTGCTTACCACTCCTCCGGTTAAGTACTAAGCAATATATACAGTTCACCAGCATTGCTTATATATGTTCTCCCGTATTCCAGTCTTCGCTTATAATGAAATTAGATGTTAAAAAAAAAAGTCTTGGCTGAAAGGAAGTCTGTTTTTACTATGTGTTACAATCTGTACTTCATCCTCAATCCTAAACCAGTATATCTGGGTGTGCTACTAAGTTGCTGAAAAGTTTCAGAATCTTTTCAGTTGCCTGTTACTCTTGGCTTGGAAACTGCCTTTGTTTACATTCAGTGTGTTCCTATATTTTATAACATTTATCTTAGCTTCCTTGGACAAAATAAATGGCTTTCAAATGTGAGGTAGACAACACTTGTCTTAGTAATAACTTAAGGCCTTTCTAACAATGTGGGAAATAGCACTTACCTAAATAGTAATTGTTCTACCAAAATAAAAGTTCATTTGCACAGTAAGATTCTATTTACACTTGGTGTTTTAAGTGGCAAAGAGAATATGACTGTTAAGTGTCGAATCCTGAGAGAGATTTTTGCCTCTTCTTCCTGATATATGGTGCCCTTTGCATCCTGTGATTCATAACCCACTTGGGTTGTGAAACGTTGATGAAGGGAAGCCAGTGACAGTAATGGAGTTCTGTTAGGTCAGGCTTTACAGGAGAGACAGGTCGTATTTCACTGGTGAAAAGTGCCTCTAATAAAAGGAGGTGCCTTGGGACAAAAATATTAGTGCTTTCTCTTTCTTCCCATGCCATTCCTGGGTCATTTATGACATTATTATATAAATGCACAGTTTATTTCTTAGCATCTGTCCACATTTTTTAAAATTGATTTGTTTGTTTATTTCATTAATGAGGGAACCAGCAGGAAGACAAAAGAGCTAGTTCCAAAGTAAAGGAACAGAGATTTATGGAGCTGGCTGGGAAAGAAATGCCAAAATAAGTTTGCCAAGTTTGATACAGGATTGGTTAATTTCTACAAGACAATAAGATCATAATGCCTTTGGGGTTAACATCTCTACCAGGCTATAACATCCTAACAACTTATCAATTTTGAAAGGTTGTAAACCATCTGCCCCTTTTCTTTTTTAGAGATTTTATTTATTTATTTGAGAGAGAGAGAGCATGAGCAGGGAGGAGGGGCAGAGGCAGAGGGAGAAGCAGACTCCCCGCTGAGCAGGGAGCCCAACACGGGACTCGGTCCCAGGACCCTGAGATCATGACCTGAGCTACCCAGGCCCCCCATCTTCACCTTTATATTTGTTAATCAAATATCTTGTGACCCGAGAGTGTCAGATAAGGGTTGTAGCGAGATGAATAGTGGCCCCCCGAAAAGTTATGTCCATACCCTAATCTCAGGAACCTGTGATAGTCAATCCCACTTATGTTTTTGGAGCTCCCTCTCCCCAGCCCCACCTCAGTTATCTGGGTTGGGAGAAAATAGTAGCTTTCACGGGGCCCAGAGAATAAGAGATGGGGTCTGCTCATGGTAGCCATTGAGCCTGGCCCTGAGAATGAGGCACTGATGCCTATGCAGACCTGGACACTTCCTCATCACCCTCTTCCTCTTCTGACCGCAGACACAACTCCAGAGGCCTTACGCCTGGGCTGCTAACAGGCCTAGCTCCTTACTAGGCACCCCATTAATGCATGGCTGCATCCCCCATGCACCCCTTAATGGCTGCATGGGGAATGCAGCCAGTCCCCCTCCCCAGAACCAGGGCAGTAGGGCTTTGCTAACACAGACCTCTGCCGCTCCAGGCACAGGACAAAAAACAAGTCCCCTCTCAATTTCCTATAAACTCTCCTTAGCCTCCTGGGCTAACCAAGAAACCTTGACTGAGAACACATAGCTACCCTCTGGGAGTAGGGAAGAGGAATACCTTTAATTCATCAATTCATATATTCCCCAACAGCATATTTTCAACAAATATTTACTGTTTATGGAGCAGCTACTATTTATAGGACATACCAGGGATACAGCAGTGAATACATCAAGGAGGAGGAAACATAAATTAATCTTTCAATAAATTAAGCTTCCTTGTTCATTAATGCAAAACACAGTCTGTTATTTGTGTTCAGAAGGGTTCATAACAATTACTTCATTATTGTTTTCAGCCCACAATATTCTTGAGGGCTTCTTGGTTGACACCCTCAACCATGCATGAACCTCTGAGAGACAGCTTTTCTAGATTTTGCATCTTCCCGAAATGGCCAGTGGAGCATAGCCTCCAATGAGAGGCAGTATAGTGCAGTGGTTATGAACACGGCCCAGAAGCATCAGCCCTACCACTGACTAGCTGTGTGGTGTTCAGAAAATTAGCTGTCTGTGCCTCGATGTCATGGACTTGATGGTAATAACCTACTTCACAGGCTGTTGAAAAGACAAAGTGAGTTATAGTCCCTAAAGGACTTGAAACAGCACCTGGCATGTAGTGAGCCCTGGTATATAAGGGGCTGGGGGTCCACCTGAGGACCAGTGATGATGGAGAAAAAAATGAAAAGCAGCTGAGCTGTATAGATGGTAAGTGCTGAGTGAAGGCCAAAGTTTTGCTATAGAACAGTGGTTTTCAAACATGGCTGCTTTTCAAAATCACCAAATGAGCTTTTCTTTTCTTTTTTTTTTAATTTTATTTATTCATTTGAGGGAGAGAGAGAGAGCACAAGCAGGGGGAGTGGCAGGCAGAGGGAGAAGCAGATTCCCTGCTGAGCTGGGAGTCCGATTTCGGACTCGATCCCAGGACCTGAAGATCATGACCTGAGCTGAAGGCAGACGCTTAACCACCTGAGCCACCCAGATGCCCCCAAAAGAGCTTTGCAGACATTTAATGCCCAGGCCCTACCCCCAGAAATTCTTCAGCTGGTCTAGAGTGGGGCCCAGGCCTGCTCAAGTAATTCCCACAGAAGCCGAGGTTGAGCATCCCTAAAGGAGAGCAATCTAACACATGGATAAAAGGCGATAAAAGGGCAGAGGCGGGCTTCACTCCACAAGCCTCCCTCATCCTGCTCCCCAAGGTCTGGCTGCCTTATCAGTGCAATTCCTCATCCTGCAGTCTAGAGACATCCTTAGGGCACACATCGCCTGTCAGGCCCTGGGCGAGGTATAGGGGAGAACAAAAGTTACCAGACAAAATCCGACCCTTATGGATCACACAGTGTAGCAAAAAGATAGACAAGAAAAGAAGCAATTATATGGAGAAAAATCACAAACACCATGACTGCTCACGGAGAGAGGTCTGAACCAACTACAGTATATACTTACTAGGAAGTCCCTGGGAAAGGATGAGGAAGATCTATAAAAACTAACTGTGGACCCTCTCCAAGATATATTGTTGAATGGAAAAAAGTAAGCTACAGAATAGCATACCATTTATGTGTCGAAAATTTTTGAAACACACTACTATCTAGGGTACGTAAATATATACACAACTGAAAAGGAGAAGTTCTAGAGGTTTACCCCTTATTTTCCATGATTACTTTTTTTCAAAAAGAATGCATTTAGTGTTTGTGAAATTAAAAATGAATAACTTTTTTTTTTTTAATTTCAGCAGACTCTTGGTGCGACTGGCCTTCTGGAATATTTGCCTTTAGCTTAAGTTAAAATGTATATCAGGTTGCCTGTTGATTGTGACAAACCAGTCAGCATTATCAAAACATGAGTTTATCTAAGCGACTACTATTTAGCAGCACAATGTCCTGAGGAAAGGGGACATGAGACAGATGTGTGGTAATGGAGGGAAGGCAAAGGAAAGAGAATTCAGCATGAGGATCTGCTGTGTATATAAGGAAAAGGCCTAGCAGCTGCCTCCCAACTCTGCAGCTTGCAGTTTGACCTGAGCTTAGTCCTCCTAACAAGGTGGAAGCTTGAATATCAGTTCCTAGGTCGAGCCTTCGAATGGAGATTCTCCATCTTAGCTGCATATTAGAATCCTCTGGGGGGAACTCACTAAAATATCAATGCCTGGAACCATGAGCAACTAAAGTAAGCTCTTTGGGAGGCTGGGCCTGGGTTTTTTGTTGTTGTTTTTAAAGATTTTATTTATTTTTTTGTCAGAGAGAAAGCGCACAAGGGGGAGCGGCAAGCAGAGCAGGTAGAGGGAGAAGCAGGCTCTTTGCCAAGCAAGGAGCCTGATGTGGGACTCGATCCCAGGACCCTGAGATCATGACCTGAGCCGAAGGCAGATGCTTAACCGACTGAGCCACCCAGGAGTCCCTGGGCCTGGGTTTTGGTTTGAACATAACTGGGGCTGAGACACACTCTTAGAAGAATCATGCATGCATGCTCACACACATTTTGGCACCATCCCAGTTTGGACAACATCATGTTTGCAAAGTACTCCAAAAATAACATCCTTTGCAGATGCTTCTTGAACTCTAGGGAAATATGAGAAAGGGAAAAATATTTGGATTTTTGTGTTCTGTGATTCTGGTAGTGTAACAGCATGTGTTTGGTTTATTTCAGGCTCGACTGACCAAAGAACAGCGCTGGGGAAGTGCATTACTTTCCAGAAACCACTCCTTAGAAGAAGAATTTGAAAGGGCAAAAGCAGCAGTGGAGGTAACTTTTCTTTTTAAATTATTTTCCTTTTTCATGTTTCTGGAAGTGGAATTCAAAAACGGAAACTTCCACAGGATAACGTATGGAATGAGTCTTACTTTATAGACATGAAATAACCATGATAATGATTGTTAGAATGAGATTTGTTACCAGAGAACTTTTGACTTGCTGCCAGGGGTGATTAATAGATGTTAAATCCTCTGCCAGTTCTGTGATGGATTTGCAATTTGTCTGGAATCCTGGCTCAGAAAGATCTGAGCCTCGTCCGGGTTCCATGATGAACCCATGCTATGCATTTGCTATGCCTCTGTGAGGCCAACGTTCATGCCTGACATTTTTCTCTCTCTAGCATCTAGCATAACGCCTGAAACACAGAAGGTCATGCTGCTCCTGAAATATGCCTTTTCCTGAGTGGGATAAAAAGCGTGGCTGATATATTCTAGCCCATCCTAACTTGAGCCATAAATTTTTTACTGTTAACAGTGTCCAAAACAATGACAATGTTGATAAATCAAATTAAATACTTAATCTGAACATTAATTTCCTTATTTAGCCTTCTAAAAAGATCCATTCGTGGTTGGAATCACAAAGAGTACATCACAGATGCCATCTATCATACTCCTCAAAGCTTTGCTAGATTGCTACTTTTCACCAAACCCAAGTATGAGCTTGTTAGGACCTCCAGTTCTATCACTGATATGAAATCTCGAAGATTGAAAGTATTCCTGTGATACGGTTCATTTATGTGGCTGTCTTGCCACTAGGATTTGGATAAAATTATTATACTGTGAGCAGTCTTTCAGTAGCTCCCTACTTGAAGTGCAATTAAGTCACATTTGCAGTTTCATATTAAAAGGGTTCTTTATATTCTAGAAATTATTCTAGCCATAATTTCATATCATCATTCAGCAATCCAGTAAGAGAAGAGCTTTATCTCATCACAATACAATCCACCCAAATTTCTTCTTTTAATTTTATCCTTTTTTAGTTTAAAAAAAATTAATGCATTAGTGTTCTTGAATGTAATCAACTGATATATTTGATTGAGACCAGCTGAGTTCAATCAACTTGTTCAACTACACGGAACCTGTAACTGAATTTATCTTAAATGTAGATTTTTCCAGACTTCAGAGCTAACTTAAATTCATCTTTTGAACTCCTACTATGTGTAGCACACTGAATTATCACTAAATAGAAGATGATTTAGAATCCTAGAATCTTGAATCAGTAAAGACATTAGAATTTATCTGGTCCCAGAAACACAATGGGTTCAATCTCAGAAGACTTAATTACAAAGTAACGTATCAACAAGGAAAAATTATTCATTTATCTGTGTGTGTGTATACATATATTCATAAAATCATTTAATCTTAGTTTTGGTGGAGGCCTTAGAAGTCATCTATCCCAACCAGGCATATAAAATAAAATGTGTTTTCTTTTCAAACGTACTTGATAAATTATTTATTCAAATATACCCTGTTTCTACTTGAATACTTCAAATTAGTGGCAACTTCTTTTCAAGAAAACCTGCTTCTGTTTTGGACAGTTCTAACTATTAAAAAGCTCTTCCCTATATTATGCTAACATTGGCCTACCAGCAACTTCCAGTTTTCCTTAGTCTTGGCTTTGCTCCCTCTGGAACAAGGCAGAATTAGTTTAATCCCTTCTCTGCATGGTGCCCACCTGACCCCACGAAGCCTTGTCTTCTCTTGGCATCTCCTTGTCTCTCCTGGGAATTGAGAGACTGATTTGTTATCCCAACTTATCACTCATAGCTACATCATGACATACATTTCATTAATCAATATAGGCTTCAGCTTCCACACTTCTGTGGTCCTTCCCAGCTTAGAATCCTTGGAGGCTATAAGTTACTTCAAGTAATCATTCATTCAACAAACAATACTGGCCGTCTGCACATGCTGACTGCCGCACCAGGTACCAGAGACAACAAAACGAGCCAACCCCGCCTAGCTGTCTAATAGCATGGACCCGAGGACCAGCTTGGACAAATCACTTGCTCCGTCTACTTTAGTTTCCTCATCTGTAAGATGAGGGGCTTGCATTTCTAATATACTAAAACCCTTTGAGTTTATGGCTTCAAGTGAAATGAATAGGAAGTACAGAATTCTCAACAGATCAGGAAATTGTAAGCAAAATGGCTCATCGGCAAGCCTGGAACTGAGAAGCTTCCTTAGGGAACGAGGGAGGATGTTCCTGACCAGAAGGTAGGAACAGATGTGGAGAAAAAAGGCAGGGGGTAAAGGCGAGTATTTCACTAAGCTGATGGGAAATCAGAGCTACAAAACTGCACATGTTTGTGGACTATTTACTTCCCAACATTATTCTTATCCAAAGGTATAATCTAATCCCCAGTGGAAGATAGGATGAAATGCACCCAATTACACCTTTATAAGCCAATCCTTACAATTTATCCTAGAGAAATAATCAGGAAAGTTTACAGTATTTTTTTAAATAGTGAAAATTTGGAAACAGCCCCACTGTCCCATAATAGAGAATTAGCTGAATTATATCTAAGAAAATGCTGTATAACCATTAAAAACTACGTAATAGAAAAATATTTAAGATCATGTAAAAATGTCTAGGGATGATTGGAATAAGAATATATTTACTGACAGTCTCACAGTATGGTCCCAACTTTGTAAAATGATAATGGCATAGTACCTAACATGTTAAAAATACATACAGCATACCAATCAGGAGCATTATATGGATGATCTTATTTAATCCTCATAGTAGTCCTATGAAGAAGGTAACATTACTATTCCCATTTTGCAGATGAGAAGACTGAGGCTTAAAGAGATTTCAGTTATGTGGCATTTTATAAGCAATTAAGATTGATTGAAAAATGAGTAGCACTCATTTAGCAAGTTTCAAAGCCATGATATTCAGCCAGACTCCAGAGCCCATTTACTTCTGAATCACTGCACTACATTAAGCATAAAGAAAATCTATGCCCAAACGTTGACAGTACTTATATCAGCTGGCTGGCTTTGGAGTGGTCTTATTTCTTCCATTAGCTTATCTGTATTTTCCAAATGTTCCATCATAAACATGTGTTATGTTGGTAATCAAGGAGAAAGTGGTAAGTTATAGACGCTGTAGTGGGATATAAAATTCTTAAAAGAACTCAAAGTGCCTCATTCTTCACTTCAAAACAAGTAAAGAATGGTGCTGCAGATTGGCCTCATTAGAGATGGTTCTAAACACTAGTGAGACTCAGATGAAAATCATGCCTGGAGCATGGAGAGTTTTTCCCACAGCCTCTCGCTTATATTTTTATATCATCTGATTCCAGTATTCCTTCTATCTCACATTTTATTCCATTTTTAAGTCCTATTTTATTTTTTGGTCACCATCCTGCCTCTTGACCTGACGCCTGGTCCCGTTTCCAACTCCTTCTGCTCCTCAGTCCCCTCATGAGCCCCAGCGGCATTGCAATTCTCTCTCGTCCTCTCCCAGGACAACCTCCTTGCCCACTGTCCCTGCTCTGTCTTCTACAGGGACATGCTTCCCCCAGATCTTCACGTGGCAGGTTCCTTCTTGTCATCCAAATTTTAGCTTGAATGCCACTGCTCCGGAAAAGCCGAACCTGGCCACCCGGTTGCCGTCAGAGCACCTAGAGTTCTTTCATCCTTATATTTATTGCTGGGTCTTTTCCTGTTTGTTTTTATTTGTCTGTTTGTTGTCTGTCTTTTTACTTTAAAAGGTAACTTCCCTAAGAAGGGGGGCCTTGTCTCTTATTCACCACTGTACCCCAATATCTAGAACAATATCTGGTACCTTTGAGTATTTGGTAAATATTTGTGGAATTAATGGCTAGCTGGCTGATTGTTAATCACCTAATGTGGGCAGCACTTCTTTCTCTCTGTTGTTGCATATAAAGTGCCATATCACCTCCTAATATTTAGTATTTACATGTTCCTGGTTGATAGAAACAGTTCTGTCTGTGGCATACAGATTTCTGCCAGGGGCTATGCAGAGATGTCCTCTGTGGTTGTCTTGGTCTCAACATCAGTCAGTGGGACATATTTAGAACAATGCAGGTAGCACCCACCAGTCCTTGCCACAGAGTAATACTACACATGTTTTATATTTTACATGGCATGAACTAGTTTTAACATATACTACATAATCCCTGACAATACACAATTCAACTGATGTTTGTGCTAAAATGCCCTAAAATACAGTCTCTTCTACAAGAGAAGAAAACTAATGCCACACGCACGTTTATTGCATAGCTTCACTGAGCTGGGTACCTGTTAATGTACAAAGGCTGACATTGCTCAGGCTCAAGTGGAACTGTTAGATCTAGTGAGGATTTGTAGGGGGTAGACTTTGCCTCTATATCTTACATTTTATTGAAAAATCACTGAAAATTCATCTCTGCTCAAAATATTGTAATTTGGGGGCACCTGGGTGGCTCAGTTGGTTAAGCGACTGCCTTCGGCTCAGGTCATGAGCCTGGAGTCCCGGGATCGAGTCCCACATTGGGCTCCCTGCTCAGCGGGGAGTCTGCTTCTCCCTCTGACCCTCTTCCCTCTCATGCTCTCTATCTCTCATTCTCTCTCTCTCAAATAAATAAATAAAATCTTTTAAAAAAGTATTGTAATTTTAGGACAACCAAATATTCCCATTCTAGGCTTTAAAAAAAAATCCCCCCTGAACAAAAAGGGAAAGGAGCTTACTCTGTGCTTCCTCTTGGATTTTCTTTCTAGTCAGCATCCTAAACGCTCTGTCAGCTACAGCAGTTCCCTAGGAAGGATGCACAAGGAGTCTCAGCAGTGGGAAGGAGGGAAGGAGCCCTGGGAGCTCAGTGAGGCCTGAAGCTGCCTCCCAGGAATGGAGGTCCCTAGAGAGAACTGTGTTGCATCTGCGGAGAGAGAAGGTCACGTGGGCAGTCAGCACACCTGCTACCACATTCGAAAAATACATCCTTTATCACTGTTAGCAAGGCAGGAAAGAGCCAGCATCTGGTAGTA